GGAAAAGTCCACAGCATGGAAACTGAAAACCGCAACGCAATCGCAGTTTCTTACACGTACTGTCAGACTGAGTTGAAAACGTGGAATTGATTTGAGTAGCGCAAATTGAGAAAATTGTAACGCGACTGCAACGCAACTTCTGGAAGACTAAGAAACTGAACTCCCAGGCAACTGAGGAAGCCAGTCTTCTCGCAGTTACGTTGCAGCGTAGTTTTCTAGTGTCCGCTGTTGTTACGCGCTTCTGTGATTCGTTTGTTTCGTAAGATGGCACGGAAGTTTGATGAAGTTGCTAATTTTGTTGTTGTTAAGTTAATTTAGTAGGAGCCTGGTATATATGACAAACGCCACCCAGAGCTCATCATGAGATGAAGGAGTCTGTATCTTGGTTAAGTTCTTTCGAAAAAATACAAGGACGCGAGTTTAAATTATCACGGATAAACAGATGCACCTGATGTTATATTTTCCCCTGTCCTCTCTGAAGCACCACATTGTGACAGGATCAGTATTATTATTTGATATTGAAGAAGATAAGTGGACACAATTAAAAGATTCAATCATGTAAGAAGTCGGAAGAACACACCAACTTGTTGTGATATGAGCAACTAATCAAACATAAGTTTCCTCAGTGTGCGCCTCCTGGAAACCAGTTGCCTGCTTAAAATCAATGACATTTCTTGGAAGTTGGGGTTGCGTTGCAGTTGCCAGTATCTTTGATGTGTCCTCGCCCTAAGGGGTCAGGATTGCAAGGTGGTAAATCAGATATCTTGAACAACAAATTAACTCATAATGCTTACCTTCTTCTTCTCTGTTGTTCCAACTCAATAATGTTGTCTTTACATTTCAGGGCAGTTGTAGGAAATGAATGTAGTTATTTATTTTTCACTAATAAGTTAAATGATAGTTTAGTTGAAGGAGGCAAATGTTATTAAATGAGAATAATTTAAAATATTGCAGGCATATCAAGGTTGTAAGGAGCCGGAATTGCGCAGTCGGTATAGCTTAGAGAGTACTAGAAAGTAGGGCTTATTGCTGCTACATACAAGTATATCATTATAAAATTATATCCCCTGATTTCTGTCAGCATTCTTGTCTTTCATCTGAAGAAGGAACACGAAGAACGAGAACGTCTGATTCAACATCTGCAGACAAAAGGAAATGCATTTCATTAGACTCGACAGAATTTGGTCGCCTCCAGGTGTAAGGCAGCGTATACACGAGCGCACAAAATATTTCCGTTGTAACGAACGTACTTTATGACGGACGCTGCTGAGGACACCACATAGTTGCAGAATGCGGTGCGTAGTTTTTGTCTGCAATGGAGCCAGAAAAAAGCGTAGCATTCGCCTCTCTTGTTTATTTCTACAACGGATGTCACGTCGTTCGTTACAACGGACGCATTTTGTGCACTCGTGTAGACGCTGCCTAAGCAGACCATCCCGTTATTATTATCATCTGAATCACGGACAGCCGACAAGAGGTGATTCTCTAGCTTGGTGTTTGGGGTGGGGTTAACTACTCTTCACTGTAACTTTGTCCTAGAATGTCCCATTAGGAAGGTCCAGGGAAACCCGGTGGTACTGAAATAAAATGGGCACATGAGCTGTTGGTCTATGCCGATGACGTGGAGCTACTGGCTGATAATGTAGATACCATAAAGAAGAACACACAAATTTAATCGACGCTAGTAAGGAGGTTGGTCTAGAAGTAAATTAAGTATATGCATCTGTCCCGTCACCAAAATTCAGGAAAAAATCATGACACAAAAATAGGTAATAAATGTTTTGAAAATGTTACACAGTTCTGGGAACGACTATAACAAAACAAAACAAGATTCAGGAGGAAATTAAGAGGAGATCGAACTCGGGTAATGCTTGCTACCTTTCAGTTAAGAAACTTTTGTCTTCTCGTCTGTTGTCTAAAATATAAAAATAAAAGTACACAAAACGATAATTTTGCTGGTGGTTCTGTATGGGTGTGAAATTTGGTCTCTGATAGAATCTGAAGATCCAACAACCCAGTAATTTCTGTCTGTGATATTAAGGGTGGAGCATAGACTGGGGTGTTTGAGAACAGGGTGTTGAGAATATTTTGACCGAAGAGAGATGAAGTGAGAGGAGGTTGGAGAAAACTGCATAATGAGGAAATTCATAACTTGTACTCTTCTCCAAGTGTAATTAGAATGATCAAGTCAAGGAGAATAAGATGAGCAGGGCATGTAGCACGAATGGGGAGAACAGGAATGCATACAGAATATTGGTGGGAAAGCCAGAAAGAAAGAGACCACTAAGAAAACCTATTGGTGGGGAACCCAGAAGGAAAGAGACCACTAAGAAAACCAAGACGTAGGTGGGTGGATAATATTAAAATGGATCTTAGGGAGGTAGAATGGGATGGTATGGATTGGATTAATCTAGCTCAGGATAGGGACCAGTGGAGGGATCTCTTGAGCACGGTAATGAACCCCCAGTTTCCATAAAATACTGTGAATTGTTTTAGTAGCTGCACAGTTGGCGGCTTTTCAAGAAGGGTTGAGCTCTATGAGAGAAATAAATTTCTCACTGTTACATCTTCATCAGTTACTTCCAGTGTTGTGCTCATATAGGAGCAGATGCGTGGCACACGTTAATTATATAGGCATTTTCCAAATATGAGTTTTCCATAAAAATGGAGGAATAAGTCAGTGTCCTTACGTTCATCATGGTCGAATTTGATACAGGAACAAATTTCCCGGCTGTGAGTGTGAACTCCTTGTTGGCTGTGGCGATGATGAAGGCCAGACAGCGCTGAAATTGGACAGGGGTTCCCACCCAGTCGCACCCCCAGGCAGCGTCTCTCACCCCTTCGGCCTACAATGTTTCAGGAAGTACTGTAATATTTTATTATGAAAAATAATGAGAAGATAACTGAACATGTGCCTGAGATGCAGCACTAAACATGAACTGCGAGGCTTATGAAGTACAGGTGTTGATACTGAAGTGATACGGTTGGAATTTTAACCGATAATAAGAAGTAGTATTTAAAAAGCAAGAATATTAGTAATTACAATACAACAAGGAATTAGAAGAGCGAGCATAAACATGGATTCCTACCCCTTCGGAGGTAAAGAAAATTTAGTATTATTCACAGTATTTGTCGCTCTGATGCAAAATTTAAGGAAATACGTCGAAACGAAGCAGTGCTGTAATGTGTGCAAGGCGAGTAGAAAAGTATATCTCATAATTCTGTGGAGTATAAAAAAAATACAACTGTACTACAATCTGGAATGTCGCGAGATCAATTCTCGATGAGGTAATTGGATTTTTAAATTAACCTAATCCTTCAAGCCGCACTATGACCCTGGGGTCGACTCAGCCTCTATGGGAAATGAGTACCAGGAATCTTCCTAAGGGTAAAGGGCGGCCGGAGCGTAAGGCTGACAACCTTACCGGAATCTTTGAGCCGATTGTCTAAAAACTGTGGGAGGCTCGAAGTCTTGACAACGCTTTGAAAATCCACGTCTGTTACAAGCCTTTCTTTTTCATTTATTAAATTAAATTTGTTAAAATAGAAGAATATTTTACTTTGAAATTATCAGAAGTGTTAAATTGTAATGGTACTTTTAGAGCTTATGTTAATCTTACCTGTTCCGTGAGCTCGTTCCCAAGCCAACAGTATAAACAGACGGAACAAAGAAAGAAAAAGTATATAATCACAGCCTGCGATACATCCGTGTGATCCCCCCAACTCTGAAAAAGAAAATATTCCTGTAGTTCGAATTAAACAATGACGGATTAACATCATCAAAGGAATCACTGTCAATCTGCAGCCCCCCCCCCATTCCATTCATCGAAATATATTAATAATAATAATATCACTTTCAATTTGCGATTTTCATATGAAAATAGTGTACTAGTAACAAAAAAAAATTACAAATATTACGTTTTCGGATATTATCCATCCTCTTGTCTTTATCTAAAAAACGTCCTGTTTATTTTTTCGAATTTATTTAAAAATAAACAGGACAGTTTCTTAGATAAAGACAAGACGATGAATAACGTCCAAAAACATAATATTTGTGCTGATGTAACACCGTCACGTGCCTAGGAAATAATGCAGCAAAAGTAATTCCGAGAATTTGTCTGCATAATAAACGGAAAAAAAGCGTTTCTAATTCAAAAATACTTTGGATCTAAAGTTTTCTGATGATGGTGTATATCATTCAGAATTACAGGATTTTTGGACCCTTTCCATCTTCCTGTATTCTAGAGACTAGAAAACACGATGTTTCCGAAAATGCATCTGTTCCATCTTCAGGTGAGGTGGAAGACACCAACTCACGAGGTTAGCTCTTTCTAAGGGGCCCGACTGAGTAGGTGTCTTCCCCCAACACCTGAGGACGAAAACAGATCTAGTTTCCGAAACGTCGTGTTTTCTAGTATCTAGAATACTGGACGAAGGAAAAAGTCCAAAAGCTAGTAATTCCATTTTTTCTTCCTGATAACGTCTTACAGTTGAATGTGGTTCGAGAGATGTAGAAGACTGCCTGATATCTCTGTTCCATAAGGAAAGTGGCTTTTAAGGAATTTCTCCATCATAAAGATCACCGGGGGCAGGCTACAATACGCCAATCAGTGGCCGCCGTGCGAGTGGGCCCAGTTGGACTGCACCCCGCACTAAGCGAATTAAAAAAAAACTTCAAGAATTTGGATCTGTACGGTGAAATAACTTTATCTCGGAGACCGTTCCGAATAGGACACATGCACATTATTTTCTTTCTTAGAATGACCGATACTGTGACCTCTCAGAATATTTGGCGGAATACTTTACCGTGACGGCGGAAAAGGCGTCAAAACACATCCCTAACAAGAGAATTAAAAAGAGTCCACACAATGGGAGATTCATCGTATTTTCCACTTCCTCCATGAATCTGAAAAAAAAAGAACTTTTTAACTGTATTTATGTACCCGTCATACGAAACAGTAGCATCACATGCAATAGAGCTGTGTTACATATAACCGCACCTTATTATCTCTTGATGGTGACGTATACAGTTGTTCAGTTGTTTCTGCATGTGACGGAACAGTTCCTCTGAGGCACGAGCCTGTCCCTGTGCTTGCAGTAGGTCAGCCTGTGTCCCACAGTCCCGCTCTACTGTGACGTGGTTCTGTCTGATATCCAGGAGAGCAGCTCTGAGTTTCTCCAGCTGACTGCAGGCTACACACACTAGCGTGGCGTACAGACTCGGGAAGGCAGCAAATGTACATACCATAATAAATGAAGTTATGCCCTGTGGGAGATTGTGAAATTAATTACTATGATTAATAATCTCCTTCTTATGACCCCAGAAATTTGGAAATTGATTAACATTTGATCTCTTCCGCAGAATCAAATTTTAAAATAAATAATCTCCTTTTAGGATTTGAGATTCTGACAGCGGTGGTATAACGCCATGTAATCAATTGAAATTCAACAGCCGCTTCGCAGGAGCACTTCCCTACCATCTTCTTTACCCATTTTCGTTTTATGGCTTACTCCCCATTGATATTCAGTGGACTCCATCCATGGTGTTACATCCTATAACGCAAATCTTTACAGAATTATAAACTTTAATACTCTCGAATGGAAACAGATGTATTTCGTGTTATATATTTAGGATTATACCAAGGTGTTTGTTAAACACGTAATTTAGATATTACTATTATTTTCTATTTGAACATTGAAAACAAATTAATGCTTAATATGTTCCACATTTCCAGCATTACCTGTATTATGTTCATAAGTTCATACAGTGGGCTTGCTGATGCGTCGAAAGGAAACCATGCAGTCAGCATCATGTCATGATTAATAACTATGCGGACAGCACTCTGGGTTAAGTGGAATGCAAAGAGGATCGCTGTTGAGTACTGGGTAATTTTCTGGATGAACGGAATGTACCCAGCCTTTGTTACGTATCCAGTGGCGGGGTCTCTGCTCGGCAGCTCTTCCCAGGTGACGGAATTCGTCAGGCTAAGTAGGCGCTCGATGTCACGCTTGCGATAACTGTAACGGAAGTAAACGTTAATCACTATATTTTTCGTAATTTGGATGCCTTAGCTAAGAATGATTGTCTTGATGAACAGAATGTTATCGTACGGGGATACGAATGCCTCAGTGTTCACTTCAAAATTCTGGTCATTGTTTTGGAAGATTTTTCTATTTCAATGGCTCTCCCAGCCCATTCACGGCCCAGGCCTCTTATGCAGTTCCGTAATCATTTCTCACAGACGGTAGGACTCTTAGCACGCGTGATCAGCGCGTCACAAAGCGGATACCTTAACACAGGACAACACAAACACAGAATAAACACATAAACACACTAAAAATCCATGCTTTGATTGGGATTCTAACCCACATTCCCAGCGTCCGAGCGAACAAAGACAGTTCATGCCTTAGACTGCGCGCTACTATAATCGGTTATTTTGGAAGATTAGCATATAAAAATTCATCTTCACATCCTTATATAAATATAAGTGTTTAGATTTATAATTTAAATCACGTTATCTGCACAGAAAAATAAGAGCCAACGTGTTCTCTTCTATTCAAATAATGTTTTCCACCATTCATTAGATATTTATTTTGAGTTTTAATAGAAATAATTAATATAATATAAATACTTTGCTTTGCAAATTAAATTACTTCCGAATACTGCTGTATAAATCAACATAACAATTCATCACATAGCTTTGAAATGTTCGAATGCTTAAGTAGCGCACCTCAAACTGATGTGGGCCCACATGATCGAATATATTACAAATAATGCCCGGATTTTCTTCATGACATCTTCCAACTGATGCCTGCGAACGAACGTGTCCATGTGGAGAAAGGCGGTAATGGTGTAACAACAAACAATAACTGTTATATTGTATATAGCGTTCATTGTTGATAGAGACTTCACGTTAACCGGAATTCCTGCGAACCGAATTAGGAACAGGAGTACCTTAAAACGACTTTCACTAAAGTTCTTGTCACATGTGGTGTCAATCCTGGTTTCACTGTTTATATCCTCCATGTGTAAATCTGTTAGTTGCACTGTTTACAGATATCCTCTGTTACTATTATAAGTGTCGGTTACAGAAAGGTTATCCTTTGGTTCTTGTTGTGCTGCACCCGTTAGAGCGGCGATACCGAATGTGAGACTGTTCAGGAACTCTGGATATATAAACTGGTGTGTGTATGTATGTGTACCATGGAACTACTGTCCCTGAGCGCTGTAAAGTATTGACGAGGCATGAAATGGTTCGGTTTCCTCAGCAGATGCGTGTCGGATTCGGGCGGTGTCTATATTTGTGGATCAATTCCGATAAACCCATCGGCTTCTGTTAAACTTGACAAACTTAACTGGCGTCATTTATTGAATATGTCTTCATTCAATTTTTTAAAACAAGAAGAAAATACATGTAGGAAACTTTTATGGGGATGTAAAGGATAACTTATTACTGATTCTAAACGAAAGCGTCTACAAGTACAGAGAAAGATACATAACTAATGCCTTCATAGACTGGATATGAGTTTATCACAGCGGTGGCTATGATGCGTTATGTCTCCTTGGATGTAAGACCGTCTAATTCGTTGAAAATGAATCGACGAATTAGAACTCAGCCTTCTCGATCCTTCCTGCCGATTTATTGCTTCCCTTACATTTCGACCCTGAAGAAGGAAGCGGAATATCCTGCCGAAACGTCGATTGACTTTCACTGGGCTATACGGTGTTATGTTCCATGAGATAGAACTATTCAAAATCTTTATATTTTGTAATATTAAGATGGCTTTTGAGTGAAGTTGAGATGAGGCTGCATATTCGGGTAAGCAGCGACGCTGGGAAATACGATACATGCTTATAAATAGCAGCATAAAGGGGGCGAATGGAGGGAACCGCCTAGGAGAGTTAAGGATTGAAGGACAAAAAACAGAAATACTCTGTGGCCTGTAGTCCGCAAGCGAAGTATACAGACCCAGCTACCGCAGCTTGTCGGCGAAGTTAGTGCCAACTTTAGCGGATAGAGGGTGTCGCGTAGTCAGCGCAACGGATCCCCACGGCCGTTAATCTCGGTTTTCTAGACCGGAGCCGCTGTTTCCTTGAAATAGCTCCTCAGTTATCCTCACGAGGCCGAGTGGACCCCGTTACAGACCCACTACTACTCAGAAAATCTGGTAGCACCGGGAATCGAACCCGGAACCTCTGAATCTGTAGCCAGGAAGTCTGACCACTAGACCACAAAGGCGGTAAGGATTCAAGGACAGTGCTAAATAGGACCTTGATGGTGGAGGAACCAAAATCTATAGGTGAATTCCATCTATCTCGTAATGATGTCCAGTGTTGGGCCTCTGTGGCGTTTAGAGTTTCATGCAAGCCGGGGAATATAACGACACCCTAAGCCCCTTTAATTTTCTGGAATTTTCAGGTTCCGGGCACTTGCTCTCGTTCGTGACATCCTCAATTCGCTTCCAGTAGGCGTATGTGGGCATAAGAAATTCAGAGCCTCCAAATTCTACTTCCGCAGCCATGTTCAGTAATTAGCCTTCATCTGTTTTGTTTATGGTGTTCATCACTGACAGGGTCACAGAAGGAACCCTGAACATACGTACCATAAACATATATACAGAATACATATATACATATATACAGAATATACAGAACCTGTGCGTGAATCTATAAAACGGTCACAGCGCTGTGAGTTGTGCATTGAACATGGAGGATCCCATTTCGAGTTTTTTAGAGTAAAGTAAAGTAAAAGCCGCTCCATCCCTTCCAGGGGCTGCACCATAGCTCAAGCGGTTAGTCGCTGGCTTCCCGCTGCGGCGGCCCTGGCTCCATCCCGGGTCTGGTCAAGTGGGATTTGTGCTGGACAAAGTGGCGCTGGTGCAGGTTTTCTCCGAGTTCTTCGCTTTCCCCTGCCAATTTTCCTTCCACCAATTGCTACACAATCACCCTCACCTATCATCTGGGGCTGGTACAATAGGCCAGAAGTGGCCGCAGTACAAGGGACTTAGTCCCACCCCACTAGCAATAAAAAAAGTAAAACAAAACAGATCAACGTGGCCGCGTGGTCTAAGGCATGAACTGTCTTCTCTTGCTCGAACGCTGAGATCGTCTTCTCGAATCCCACTCAAGGCATGAATGTGGCGTTTATTCTGTGTGTAGATTGCTGCCTTGTAAAGCCATTGATGAATTAATGAATGGATGAATTACAAATGGTTTCAGCCTTTAACTTAACCTCAGTAGAATGCATGTGAATGTAATATAATATACACAAACTCAGTACATCCTTTCTAATTTCTGTATTAATGGACTAATATTAATTTACATGTTCAGTAAATTAAGAGGAGTTTTCTTACAGCTCTTCAGCCACTTAATGGAAAAGCATATATGAATTAGTCTACCGTTAAGATTGTCACTAATTGTATCCAACATATTTCTGCCTTCACTGATCATCGCTAGGTGCCTTCGGTACTACAGGAAAGTTTGTGTCATTTACATGAGATATTTCAGATATGTTACGTAATGTACAGGGCACGCGGTAATGTAGGTGTTTCAGGCACTGTGCTACAAGCCGGAAGGTCGCGGGTTTAATTCCCGATGAGGTCATTGTTTTTTTTTCAAGTCACCTAATCCTTCCAGCCGCAATGTGGCCATGGAGTCGACTCATCCTCTAACAGAAATGAGTACCAGGAATGTTCCTATGGGGTAAATGGGGTCATGTCATAAAACTGACAACCTCACCGCCACCAGTGAGCCGGTTGCTTAGGAAATGTGGGAGCCTCGACGTCTCAGAATTCTATTGGCCTCCACGGCCTGTTACAGGGATCTCCTTAGCTTTCTTACTGTTGCATAATGTATATAAAATATTTTAAAATGCCTTATGTAAATTGTACGGTGTTCTTTCTAGTATTGATTACGTCTGAAGATGGTTGAGGCAGAAATATATCAGTTTTAATATTATTAATAATTAAAAATTGAATAAAATAAATGAATATTTTATACTTATTTTAGCCTAAAGAATGTATTGGCAATAGTGACTTCTATAAAGAAAATCTATCATTAATTACAAGTGAGTTTTGAGCACAAGACCGTGCTATGACCCAAGTGTGTTACAAATGTCGGTAGTTAGGTTTAAGATGAAAAGATAAAATAATTTTCAGTGTTTCAATTAAAGAAACGTTGTTATTTCTGGTTCTCTTCTTCGCGTTCGTTTTTCATATGCAGAAGAAACATGAAGAATGACATTGTTTGGTTCATCATCTGCAAACACACAATGTGACTAACTAAAATATAAACACATATTAGAAAATTATTAAATTTTAACTGAATAAAATTCCTCCATCTTTTTTTTTTTGGCAATTTTGCCATGAAAAGTCATTAAAATGCTCCTGTAAACGTCGCTGTGTGTGGCCATTTATCTGTTTGTCCGGATATAACCGCTAATGCAACTTAACAGATATTTACCAGATTTCATACGAGTATTTTAGAGAATTGCTATAATTTGTCATATTTCAATATTAACGTTCATGGGCCTCTGTGGTCTAGTGGTCAGAAATTTTGGCTAAGTTCTAGAGGTCCCGGGTTCTATTCCCGGCGCTACCAGACTTTCTGAGAAATAGTGGGTCTGAAACGGGTTCCACTTAGCCTCGTGAGGATAATTGAGAAGCTATTTCGAGTAAATGGCGGCTCCGGTCTAGAAAACCGAGATTAAAGGCCGTGGGGATTCGTTGCGCTGACCACGCGACACCCTCTATCCGCTAAAGTTAGCACTAACTTCGCCGACAAGGAGCGGTCGCTCGGTCCGTATAGTTCGCTTGCCAACTACAGACGACGGAGTTTGTTTTTTGTTTGTTTTGGTATTTGCACCATGTGGAAGGAGGCAGTGACTCCAATATTCTGCCTGCATCTCTGTCGTCTAAATGATCCCAAAGACACGAACACTCGAAACGTTTACGACACTGCTCACTTTCTCACTATGTAAATACCCAAGAACACAATCAACATCATCAATGAATTATCATCAAAACCAAAAGTTAATAATTTAAATTTTTGCTAAAATTCAATTCAGTTCTTTATCTATTTACGTGACGACTACAATATCCAATGGCCAATTGCTGCATCAGCAAGGACACAGACAATAGCAATGTGATAGCACAGAAGAAAGAGAACAAGAAAAAACAGAAGAAAAAGTGAAAAATATAAAAGTTAGGCCTTTAACACTCATACAGGTGTTGCTAAAAATAACTATAAGTTCACAAACTGCCTTTGCGGTCAATATATATATATATATATCTAGCAGTTGCTAGAACAGCAGAAGAACATGTTCCGAGTAGAAACCCAAAGCCCGACTGTTTCGAGGACAGAGGGCCAACATTTAGTGTTAGTAAAAATATTTGTTAAGAATAAAGCACCAAAGTGACGACACCTAATATGCAGTGTCAGCAAATTTAATCTTTCCAATGATTTGCCATGTTCGCATTCCATATCTTGAAAAGAGCTGTTGTGGCAAAGGGCTGCAAATGTTCTTTGTATGCGCTAAAGATTATTAGAATCAGTAACCAGATTTCCAAGCAAAAAAAGCATGTTCGAGTTTATATCCGACTAAAATATAACATCAGTAGATTGCCTTGGATGGGAGAAGAAAATGTTATTGTACAAATTAGCCCTAGTAATTTCAGTTGAACAAGAAAATCGGCGTGACCATGGAAGTGAAGTTATCAGTCAATATGAACACCCAAATACTTAATACATCTGTTCGCTATATAAAGGAATATCCAAGTCTGTGATGAGAGGATGTAACTAGAATTGGACCAAATGAAAGGTATACACAAATCCTCTGGTCAGAGACGACGTTACATAAGGATTATGAAAGAAAGGGCTCAGTTTCGAAAAGAAATCTCCGGTCGTGAGTCTGAAGGCCCTTGGCGCCAAGACGAAGTGATTGGCAGTAAACCGCCAGTCATAAAGTAACTCTGAATCTCTTGCAGTCCACGGTAATATGTTAGCGATATATGCGCCAGGAAACCGCATGCTGTATTGTAAATGTCCAGGTAGACCGCAGATTAAATGTTAGGTTAGGTAAGATTAGTGTAGGATATGTTAGATTAGGTTAGCGAACGCATTACCATGAACTGCAAGATTTATTTCTTCTGAGAAAATTAAATATAAATATATGTTTAGATATTATATATGCACCATTTTTCATTGTTTTTTATGATAAATGCTCTGCTAGACCGCCAACTGTAGTGTAAATGTTCAGGTAGACCGCACGCTAAAGAAGAAAAAGTTTAGGTAGACTTCACACCGAAGTAGGAAAGTTCAGATACACCGCACACTAAAAATAAAAGTTCAGGTAGACCGCACGCTAGAGTAGCATCAATTCTGATATAAGATATAATCCATACTTGAGAATGCATTATTACAAATATGCACACTCTAATATCCTTAGCATATTTCTCACCCCCAGTTACCATTTGTTCTCAAAATAATACATCGGGATTGCTCCTCTTACATTCATCATAGTCGAGTTGCACACCGGAACAAATTTCCCAGCTGTGAGCGTGAACTCCTCGTTAGCTGCGGCGATGATGAAGGTCAGACAGCGCTGAAATGGGACAGGGGTTCCCACCCAGTCGCACCCCCAGGCAGCGTCTCTCACACTCTCAGCCTGGAGCAAAACTAGAAGCTTCATAAAGACACACGTGTATAATATTCATGTGTTTGAATTGCTATTGAAATTAAAATTTATACTAAATACCTGTTCCGACAGTTGACTTCCGAGCCAGCAGAACACAAACACGATGCCCATCAACACGCAGTACATAATCAGGGCCTGTGAGACGTCCGTGAAATCTCCCCAACTCTATTTATATGAAATATACCAAACATAATAAATTAGTGCTAAATCATAAGGTTTTCTAGACCGAAGCTGCTCTTTCCCTGAAATAACTCCTCAAATATCACGTTAGATAACACTAAAGTTAAAATAAATAAAAATCGTATAAGGAGATTCCAGTTGATCTGTGCCTGTCGGTGACTATCAGTGCCGTATTTTATCTCTTTCCATGTAAGTCGACAAGTAATCAGTCAACATGGGTGTAAAATTTGGAATTGATTTTTTAAAAGCTGATGAATAACTAATAACATAAAATTGACAAAACAGCTATTAAATTATAAAATTAATTATTTTCCGAAAGCCATGTTCTTGAAACACTAGAAATTCTATCATTACGTTTAATAGAAAGAAAGAATATTTTACCGTAACAGCAGAGAAGGAAATGAGACACAGCGCTGCCAACAACAGCAAGAACAGCCCACACAGCCCGATGTTCATTATATCTTCCAATACTGCCATGTATCTGTACACACAGACACAATATATATTCAGTTGGCATAAATATCTCGATATCCATTCCTGCAACATTAACTCCCATTTCGGTTGCCATGGCCACACCGTTTTATCTCCTGGTGGTGACGTATGCAGTTGTTCAGTTGTTTCTGCATGTGACGGGAGAGTTCCTCTGAGGAATGATCCTGTCCCTGTGCCTCCAGTAGGTCAGCCTGTGTCCCACAGTTCCGCTCTGCTGTGACGTGTGTCTGTCTGATATCCAGGAGGGCCGCTCGGAGCTGCTCCAGTTGACTGCAGGCTACACACACTAGCGCAGAGTAGAGGCCAGGGAAGCCGGAACATATACTTATGATGAAAACAGATGCAAGAAGCTGTTACACAAAACCAAAATAATTTTTATTTCTTAATTATTGTCCATTTGTCTATAAGTTATGGTCAGTTACGTTACTTTACTGGCAGTGAACGTAGTTAGTCTATATGAAATTTTAGTTATACAGTGTTTCTTTTATATGTTAAAAATTAGTACATATGAAATCAAATGCCCCCTGTAATACTGATACAGTCATCATTCTTATTATTCAAGTACACCGTCAATAATGCAACAATAATTTTTAAAATATAAGACACCTAAAATATGTTTCTCACTAAAAGTTTAAATTTAATACTTTACGATATTATTAAAATGTTTTAAAATATCATTAAGACACTAAAAGTATATCTTATACATTAAAAGTGATCATCAAAATACTTCAAAATATCTTTAGCTTTGCATAATTCGTCCATGATTTGTAAGCAATGTCCGTCTTTTAGTGCACTCAATTTTACTTGTTCCTTCACAACATGTTTCGGCACTACAGTGCCATCATCAGGTGCTCTATTTACGTCAATCTATTTCATTGCCTGCCATTACGTCATTGTAAAATTTAAAAAGTATATAAAATGTTCATTAATTTTAATAAATATATATACTAAAAACTTGTTAAGATTATTTATCTTATCTGTCCCAATTCTAACACCATTCATAGTTTCACCACCATGGGAGTCGTTCCTCTTATTCTCAGGGTATATCGTGTCTCGTGTTGCGTGTTCCCTGTTTGGTAGCGGGTGTTGTTTTACATAATTCTTTTATTCAATTTGCAATATGTTTCGCCTCATATAGGCCATCGTCAGGGAAGTTTTATTTTATTGGGAGACCACTACATTGTCCATGGGAGCATGATAGGCAAATGAAACATTTTTGAAAGGCAATTATCGAAGCACCTGATGATCACCATATCGGTCGAAACATTGAGTGCGCCAGTAAAATGAAAAATAATTTGAAACTCGAAAACATAAATTTTAAGGTTTTAACACACGTTTACGTGTGAGGCAGTGAATCAGAAATGGACATTATTGACTTGCAACAGGGTTCTTAAATGTAATAATACCGGTCCTCATTCTGGCAGTCTTAAATCACTAAATGCTGCAAATTTTTGGGTTTCTACTGAGATGGCTATGAAGATTATTGTCGTCTGAGATGTGACGCCGTAAAGTCTAGTTGATTGTTACTCCCTGAATGTAAACTCAGCTACACTATAATTATTCTTATGAAATCTTATAGTTCTTACACTCCTGCAGTTGAGATTGGAGCAGCCTATTTCTCTGAAATTGTATGAATGCTCTATTAGGCTTCAAGACTTCCGAGTATATATATTAATTCTGTTGAGATGTATTTTGGTGTAATATAGACTTTCAGTTAAACACGTGGTGCCCATAAAAGACTTTTCACTATAAAATTTCCTGGAAAATTCAGTATTTATTACAGTTGCACCGTATACACAGACGAACTTGCGTTTGAAGAGTTAAAGAATAATAATAACAATAATGAACACACAGTTCTAGATTCTACAGTTTTACAATTCTAGTTCAGCGTGTTCATTATTGTTATTATTATTCTTTAACTCTTCAAACGCAAGTTCGTCCCTGTATACTGTGCAACTGCAATAAATACTATAGGACAGTTCAACTAGTGATTGTCTCTTAATATGACATCCCACAACTGCATTAGGAAAAGTTTACCTGTGATAAGTTAGCAATCTCATATAAAGGCGTGACTGAAGCATCAAATGGATACCACGTGGTGAATATCATGGCGTGACTGGTCAGCATGCGTAAGGATGACTGGATCGCATGGAAGACAGCCATTAATTGCCATATGAATTTAGTAAGACTGTTTACACGAAGGATATATCCACTCATTGTTAAATTTCCTGTCTCAGGATCTCTGATGGGCATCTCTTTCCAGGTGAAGGATTCAGCGATACTAATCAGGTGCTCAATGTTACGTCGATTGAACCTAAAACACAGGACCACAAACTTTTTTACATTATTACAGAATCAGGCATTACGCTGAAGTACCGTGAATTTGAAGTATATTAACATAAGGGAATGAAACTTTCTGAGCCAGCGACATTGAATTTTCATCTGTAATAATTAGTAAATACATTATATTGCCTCATTCATTCCAAAGGGATTTAATTACTTTTCATTGCAATGTGTTTGGCGTGTCCTTTATTATTTGTGTAGTTTTGCGTTCTATGTTTTGTTTGAGCGTGGTGTGTTATTTGTGTGTTGTGTCGTATTGTACTACCACTGCCACCGGGTAAAAACCAATTCGCAGTTAAAATAAGTAATAATAATAATTAATAATTTAAACCCAAAAGAAATTTTGTGACATGTGAGCTTCCCATAGCAGTAACTGTGAAATGCACCACTTCCTTGAATGTGACACGGTGTATTGTGGTAGAAATTTATTTCCATTTTCTAGAAAATAACTTCCTTCATTTTTAGAATATCTTTTCTTCCGGTTGCTTGCGTGGTATATTCTTCGATAGTAAAATTGTGACGACATTTTTCTCCAAATAACCAATAAAATACTAAGATATACGGCCTTACGTCCCACAATATAGCACATTTCACCAACACAAATTATTTGATGAAAACTATTTATAGAATAATTGTCTTTGGAAAATGCAAAATCACTAGTAATTTCCAGAACTATGATGGCCTTATGAGTCATAGAATTTATGCAAGTATATGTTGGTGCACGGATAAATTATATATACACATAATATCTGTACCTGAGATATAGATGCATCATTGCAACGACAGCCATTCCAAATATCATCCTCACATTCTTCATAGACTCGTGCAATTCCTGCTTGTTAAACACCCAATCCAATGTCACGGACAGGTACGTGGTATAATAACACACAGCCAGTACTTCATTATAAATAGAATTAAGTTGTGATACTTTCTCCACTTTAAGTGGAACTCCTGCCAGTCTTACAAAAAATAAATTCACTCGGAAGTAGATATCTGCCATATCAACGTTTTATATCGATATTTGATTTCTTATTACTAATCTCGGAACAAACTAATAACATTGAAATTCTTGAACTTGTGTTTAAAACTACGATTTTAGACGCACGTGATCGCCAAATTCGGGCAAAGACATAATTCAAAATGGAACTTTTGTCCCCAAACAACGATTTTTATATACTTCTATAACAGTGAGTGTGAGCGCGGGTGAGTGTGAAGTATTCCTTGAGCGCGCAGCCCCAATTAGGGATTGTCTTCTTCAGCACATGCGTGATTGAAGCGGGCGGTGTCCGTCGGTGCGTATTAAATTTTATGTATGAGGTAGCATTTTCGTTGAAGCGCTCCGTACTAAATATCTGATTAATTTATTGAGACAAGGAGTTGTGCTCAGAAGGGAAATAGGAAATCGTTAAGTGAGAAAATGCTGTTTTAAACATCTGTCCAGAAAATTGGTCGTAATTATGTATGTCATAAAAATAAAATTATTTTTTGTGGGGTTCATTGATGAATCTATACTTTTTTTGTCATTTCATTTTAATATACTAACATCATGGAGCTGAGTCCTTCTTCAGAAGTCGCCAGCTCGGAAACTATCAAAAATTTCCCATTTTATGGAATCCGCACGTTCATTGCCGTGTTCAAAATATCCCTCCACTGCTACCTAACCTGATCCAGATCAATCCAGTCCACACCATTGCATCCTATCTCTAAGATTCTTTTTAATATTATCCACCCCATACGACTGGGTCTTCCTAGTGGTCTCTTTCCTGTTCGGCTTTCGCACCAATATCATATATATGCATTCCGCTTCTCATTCGTTCTACATGCTCTGCCCATTTAATTTTAATATACTACAGTGTGTAAAGCACTACTTGTATTTTTTTAATTTGATACATGAAATGAGATTTAATAGTTTGTGACGATGGTACATTGCTACAAGTATTATGTTTTTGACATTATCCAGCGTCCTGTCTATTTTCTAAAAACAGTCCTGTTTATTTTTTATTTTTTAAATAAATATGACAGGTTTTTTTTTAGGAAATAAGATGATGACTAATATCCAGAATCATTATAATTGATACACGAAGTATAGTTTCTGAGAAAATATTTCGTAAAAATATGCATTACTTTAGCCCTATAATTAAAAAATTGCACAGAAGAATATGGTTAATTTTCTGATGCTGAATAGACTGCCTCTTTGCATTTTGTGAACGGCCGTTTTGAAATTACGAACAAACGTAGTAACCGCAGGGACTTGGCCGCGCCATAGCTCAAGCGGTTAGTCGCTGGTTTCACACCGCAGCGGCCCGGGTTCGATCCCGTGTCTGGTCAAGTGGGATTTGTGGTGGACAAGGTGGCGCTGGGGTGGGGTTTTCTCCGAGTACTTCGGTTTCCCCTACCAATCTTCATTCCACTAAATTCTCCATCATCATAATCAACCGGGGCAGGTTACAATAGGCCAATCAGTGGCCGCCGTGTCGAGTGGACCCAGTTGGGCTCAACCCCCCAGTTAGCGAATTAAAAAAAACCGCATGGACTTAGTGCCCCAGCCACTTGTAATTGATCTGGCCTTTCTTGCAAACGAGGATTTCTGAATAAAATTTGTGGTAACACAACTACACAATATTTATAATAATTTTGGCTTAAGTATTAACTTTACGTAGTCACAGTAGCCGTTCGGAATCACGTGTCACTTTCACTGATATATCAGAAGGATTAGCAGCTCTAGGTTACTGAAGGATTCCGGTGAGGGTCTGTAACATTCAGGATTAATGAGTTTCTGGACTTTGCCTATCATC